TTTTTTTTTTTTTTTTTTTTTGAGATAGGGTCTCACTATGTAGTTCAGACTGACCTGGAACTCACTATGTAGCCCAGGCTGGTCTAGAACTCACAGTAGATCCTCCTGCCTCAGCCTCCTAAATGCTGGGGTTTACAGGCGTGAACCACCACGCCCGGCTGAAGACCTTTTAAAATTGCATCTGATCTGGGGATTTCTGCCACCTACCTCAAGCACAAGGTCCCAAATTCAATCCCCAATACAAAAAAATCAAATATAAAGGAGGTATCATAGTATCCATCTCACAACCCTATGCTTAACATTTAAAAGTCGTCAAAACTGGGCCAGGGATTTAGCTCAGTGGTGCTACTGCCTGCCTCTCAAGCGCAAGGTCCTAAGTTCAAACCCTGGTACCAAAGGGGAAAAAAAAGTCATCAAAATTTAAAGCAGAAACTAGAGTTTGTTGTCTTCCTTTAAAATGCATACTGAAAAAATCTAAAGGGCTGGGGATGTACCCTAGTGGGAGTGTGCTTGCCTACCATCCATAAAGCCCTCAATTTGATCTAAACTTTAGAAAGAAAAAATTTAAGTATTTCTTTCCACTAGCCATCTGCGTGCAATCTCTTGTCTAAAATACCAAGGAGTCCACATGGCTGAAGAAGAAATGCACAAGGAAATAAAACCAATTCCAGTTTCTTTTACTGGATTATCGAGGAAATAACTGAGGGACAACAAAAAGGAAAAACAAAAAATGAGTTTATACTTCATATTAATATTCTGTGGTTTTGAAGTAAAAGCAGCCCTCAGGGAAACTATATTCAAATCTAGCAGAAAGAATGCAACAAACACATATCTTCACTTTTTGACATTCTAAAAGAACTAGGCTGATAATAAATTAAAGGCCCCTTCTTAGGCTAGGTGTGGTGGCACACACCTATGATCCCTGTACTTGGCAGGCTGAGGTAGAAGGATTGCTACAAATTCAAGGCCAAGCGTGGACGGCACAGTGAGTTCAAGGGCAGCCTGAGCCATACAGTGAGACCCTATCTTAAAAGACAAAACAAACAAGGGCCGGGAATTTAGCTCAGGATTTAGCTCAGTGGTTCCACCACCTGCCTTGAAAGCACAAGGTCCAGAGTTCAATCCCTGGTACCCCCCCAGAACAAAAGCCCTTCTTAACACTACTAGCAGAGTTATAAAAAAATATATTAGCATTAGCATTTTTTCATAATAAGAAAACCCATTGGGCCGGGAATTTAGCTCAGTGGCAGTGCCACCTGACTCGCAAACTCAGGGTCCTAAGTTCCATCCCCAGTTCCGCCCCCCTCAAAAAAGGAAAACTGTCATACTATTAAAAGCAAGACATCCAGGCATGGTAGCACATGCTTGTAATCCCAGCAGTCAGGAGGCTGAGGCAGGAGGATCGCTGTGAGTTCGAGACCAGCTTGGGCTACACAGTGAGTTCCAGGTCAGTCTCAACTACATAGTGAGACCCTGTCTCAAAAAACAAATAAAAAATAAAATAAAAGTAAAACAAAAACAAAAATATTATTATCCATCTATTTCCAATATTTTGTCTTGGGTAGGACAGGTAAGGTTTGTGAGTCAGCCCTTGCTAATTCGTATCACAACTTCAAAGGCTTTGAATGTTCTGTACCTCTGATTTCCTGAAACAATCTATAATACATAACTCTTTGAGGTGAGGCATGCTTAAACACTATTGTCTCTTAGGGATATGTATTGCAAACATTTTATGAGGTACCATATAAAATAGTGTTTCTTTTTATTTGTTCTAAATTACCTCTCATTGTAATGAAAAGTAGATACCCAGATTTTACATATAATAATCTAGTGATAAATCTGTAATACTTTCTCTCTCCTGTCAGCTTCAGTCCTTAATTTTATTCCCACTCATTCACTAAACTTTCAGGCTAAAAGTTAATCTTTTAGTTTGTTCATATAGCAACTATTACATTATTTAAGTTATCCTTTCCTCAATCTTCTCCATTCCAAAAATACCATTTTTGAAACCAGGTAGAGAAACTTCATTTTATAAGACTGGCATTTTTTTATTTGGTTGATAATACTCTTTTTGGTAATATATGTTATGTAAGATGATTCTTTTTTCCCTTTCATTTCTCATACAGTTATGAAATGACTACTGTATACCAAGTTTACTTATTTGACACATTTTCTTCATAGATTTGCTCGGTGACTTCAAGCCTGGCTTTTCAGTACAGGTTTAGACTTTCCCCACGTCCCCACTGAGGACTGAACCCAAGGCCTTCTCATTGAGCCATATCTTTAGCCCTTTTTTATTTCTTATTTTGAGACAGGGTCTGGCTAAAATGATAAATTTCCCAGGGCAGTCTCCAATTTGTGATCCTCCAGCTTCAGCATCCCAGAGTGCTGAGATTACAAGTGTGTGTCGCTATGCCTGGCTGAACTAACTTTTAAAGAGTTAAACTTACATACTCTGTACACAGAGCTTCACAAGTTATTTCTATACCTGATTTCCATCAACTTGGCATTTTACTACCCACAAATGTTCTATATAATCTGTAGCCAGCTGAGGATTTAGCTTAGTGGTGCCACTGCCTACCTCACAAGCATTAGGTCAAGAGTTCAATCCCTGGTACCAAAAACAAAAGTCTAACCATGATACATCATATAAAGGTACAACATCCCAATGATGACTGTAACTGTAGTATATCTAAAATGTACCAATAGGGGCTGGGGATTTGGCTCAGTGGTTCCACCGCCTGCCTCACAAGTGCAAGGGCCCTGCACCCGCCCAAAAAAATAAAAAAATAAAATGTACCAATAAAAACAAATATATATAAGGGCTGGGGATTTAGCTCAGTGGTTCTGCAGCCTGCCTTGCAAGCACAAGGATCAGAGAGATCAATCCTCAGTACAAAAAGAATTAAAAATAAATAAATAAAAAATACACACACACACACACACACACACACACATATACACATATATACATGACATATATATATGTCTAATCTGTAACTGACTTTTTATGCTCTTCTCTACTATTGTTTTTTAAAATACTAAAACAAAACTGGATCCTTACCCAGTCTCAGTATTCACAAATATAGGTCTAAAAATTAAGCAAGTAGTCTAATCCTTTGATTATGTCTCTAAATCATTTCTTTATGGGATAATAATAACCTTCAGGGCCGGGAATTTAGTTCAACAGCACCATGCCTGCCTCACAAGCGCAAGGTCCTGAATTCGATCCCTAGTACCAGGGGGGAAAAAAAGTAACCTTCACGCTGCATATAAATTGTTTTCTCTTTAATAGTTTTTGCAGTGGAATTCTACAATATTTCTGACGATCACGCTAGATATGGTGGTGGTACATCTGTAATCCCAGCACTGTGGGAGGCTGAGGCAGGAGGACTACCAAATTAAAGCCCAAGCCTGTCTCAAAAAATAAAAAATAAAAATAAAACAGACTGGAGATGTAGTTCAGTGAGAATAACAATAGCAACAGCAACAACAAGAATGTTTACTTCTACTGGTTTACCTTTACCCATATTGAATCCCCTGGCATCTCCTCTTAACTACTTCATGATCACTTCTTCTGGTAGGTTAGACTTAAATTTAATATTATGTTTTATTAAAAAATACATGAAGCCAAGCGTGTTGGCACACGCCTGTAATCCCAGCACTCAGGAGGCTGAGGCAGGAGGATCGCTGTGAGTTCGAGACCAGCCTGGGCTACATACACAGTGAGTTCCAGGTCAGACTTAACTACATAGTGAGACCCTGTCTCAAAAAAAACAAAAAAGAATACATGAGCTTGCTGGGTGTGGTAGCACACACCTGTGTGGTAGTGCACCCTGCTGTGATCCCAACACTCAGGAGCTGAGGCAGCCGAAATGCCTAGAGTTCAAGGCCAGCTTGGGCTACATAGTGAGTCCAAGGCCAGTCTGAACTACATAGCATGACCCTATCTCAAAAAACCAAATTGCCCCACAAAAAAACCCAAAACAAACAAACAAAAAACCATCATGAGTTTGCCTTGTGTAGAAATGAAGCACACTAATATATAGCTCTGAGGGGTCCTTTTCCAGTATAATGGATATTTAGATGATAAACTACATGTATCTATCCATCAATCTAGTTAACCCTTCTGTACCCTAACAATTCTACTAAACATCACATCCCACAAATTTCATCTGTATCTAATTCACTGATTTTTTTTTTACCATCTTTGACTTGTCTATTTAAAAATATGATTTAAGATATAACCACACGTTATGTCACCCAGTGTGATGCAAAAGGAATTAGATAAAAGTACTAGTTAAATCACAAAGAATCAACAACTGGGATCTCATCTTATTAAAAAGCTTTTGCACAGCAAGAGAAACTGTTGGGAGATTTTTGTAGTTAAGACAGAAGGGGTACCAGAAAGTGGGCTGCCCCACCCACATCATTTCTCAAAGATGTTTTATACAGCAAAGCCATGGGGTCATATATGACATTTATACACATACATTTTAGAGGGATTCTTGGGAACTTAACCCAGGGTCTCATACATACTAAGCACAAGTTCTACCACTGAGCTACACCCATTCTATACATGTACAATTTAAAAACAAACAGATCATATTGTTAATACTGCTTTGACCAGCTTTTGTCCTCTACTTTTTTAGATATCTTAAAGAAGCATTCTACAAAGATGCTTAGAGTGGGGAGGGAGGGAAGGAAGGGAAAAGGATAAAAAAAAAGAATGGAAGAAAAAAATAGCAACAAAGCTTTAGTAAATGGGGAGAGGAATGTTTGAAGGGAGGAGAGGGGAATTGGGGAAAAAAAGAATTAAAATATATTATGTATAGGTACAAATTCCCTATGATGAATGTGATCCTGATGTATGGTAAATATGTACCAATTTAAAGGAAAGAAAGCCCTTTATATATGAACTCAGTTTTTTTCTTCAACCTGCCATGCACATTTTTTCTTTTCTATGAGTATTTCAGCTACACTTCATTTATTTGCCAGACAGCTTTGTCTGTATAAACTTGGTGTTATAAATTTGATGTTGCCCCCCCTCTTAAAACCCTCAGTGGGCCTTTTGCTAACCTACTGAGCCATCAAGAAAGGATGGAGTGGCTGAGCATGTGACACGTGCCTGTAAATAATCCCAGCTACTTGGGAGGCTGAGGCAAGATGATTCCAAATTCAAGGCCAGTCTGGGCAACTTAGCAAGTCCCTGTCTCAAATTTTAAAAAGGGTGGGCCAGGCATATAGCTCAGCAGCACAGCATCTGCTTGGCAAGTACCAGGCCCTGAGTTCAATTCCCAGTACAAAAAAAAAATCTTTATTTTAAGGGTTAAGGGTATGGCTTGATGGCAGGTGAAGCTCTTGTCTACAACAAACTTCAACTGTCTCCAATTTCCAGCACACATATACACACCAAAGGCAGAGTAAAAACACGGCTTTCGGGTGAAGCTGTAGCATATTGTTTTGCTTCAACTGGTGGTATAATAAGACACTAAAGAAAGCTCACAAACATCATGCTAAATATAAGATGAGTTAATTGCTTAAAATTAGCCACTCCAATTTTAACTGGAATAGGGGAGGGGCAGATTTTAGCAGCCTTTGTCATAACCCAGGTTCTTTTCAGCCCTTGCGGACTCTGAGAATAATTCAGCAAAGCAATAACATTTTAATCACCACCCTTTATTTACACAAAGTAGTCAAGCCACAGGCTTGAAGGTCAACAGCTGGCACCCTGATCCAGATGAGTGACAAAAATGAACAGGAATGCAAAAAAAAAGTAAAGACCAAGGCTGACTCGGACTTTTTTACAATAACCTCAGGATTGAGGGTGGAGGGTAGGGCACAAGATAATACCAGTCACTATGCAGGTGTGAAAGTACAGAATATAAAGTAGAGGATGAAAACTAGTGACCGTAGGTATATGAGTATTTGCTACTTGGTATATTAAGAAATAATATCACACCATCAAATTTATTTCAAATGTTCACTAAGAGTGTCTTCTTTTATGCCAAGAACAAATGAGGCAACTAGATATGTACTGCTAATAACATATTAAAACTGTACAAGAATAACAACAGTCATGAACTACACAATGTTTCAGCCAACAACAGACCACACATCTAACAGTGATCCTGTAAGATAATTATCACCTACGGTCACTGTAGCTGTCTTAGTTTGTGTATACATACTCTGATGTCACAATGAGATCACCTGAGGATGCATTTCTCACAGCATGCCCTCATCATTAAGTGACACATGGCTGTATTTGGGGGTCTGTCTATTTTTTTTTTTCTGGTACCGAAGATTGAACTCAGGACCTTGCACTTGTGAGGCAGGCACAGTACCACTGAGCTAAATCCCTGGCCCTACATGGCTGTATTTAGGAACAAGGCCTCATATACATTAAAATTACTACAATAGCTGCTGTTTACTCAGTGTTTATAGTATGCTGGTTTCTGTTCAGATCATATAAATAAAAATACTAAGATAGCACATAATGTACTAAGTATTTAATATATTTTAATTGAATTCTAATAAAATGATGTCAATAGAACTGTCTTCGTTTCACAGATGAGAAATTGAAAACTAAGAAACCTTAACTGACCTGCCCAAATACACACATTTTGTCTGTAGCAAAACTAATATTTAAAAAAGCTGAAACAAAACAAAACAAAACAAAAAACAACAAAAAAAAGTTGATCTCAGAAAAATACTACATTGGTGGCTACAAGAGATTGTGTGGTACAGGGAGGAGATTGGCAAATAATGATTCAAACTAACATAATTACAGTTGGAAAGAATAAATTCAAAGAGATTCATTGCACAGCAGATGACGATGGCTAATGACAATATACAGTGTTCGTGAAAAATGTAAAGAGAGTGGATGTTACATCGCCTCACCCCAAAATGATAATTTTGTGAAGTAACAAACAAATTTGTTGGGGTTTTCTTTGGGTGGGTACTGGAGATCAAACTAAGGGCCTTGAGCTTACAAGGCAGATGTGGCTCCACTGAGCTATATCCCCACCCCCAAATTTGTTAATTAGCTAGGTTTTACCATTCCACAATGTATACTTCAAAACAGCATGTTATACATAAGAACATACTATGCTAATTTTTTAATTTAAAAGCTGCAATTTGAACATCAGATTACATACAGTTATTATATATCAATTAGGTACATAGGGTCACATGGCCAAACAGACCTGTTTACAGCTGATTCTCCATATCCTCAGGTTCTACATCCAACCTTGAATTCAAAATATTCTGGGGAAAAAGTTGCGTCTGTACTGAACATGCACACTCTTTTCCTTGTCATTATGCTCCAAACTATACAATATATAATGCTATTTACACATCATTTACACTGTATGAGATATTGTAAGTAATTTAGAGCTAATGTATGTATATGGAAGGACATACATATACACAGTTATACCCAACACTATACCACTTATGTAAGGCACTAAGCATCTAAGAATTCTGACATCTAACAGAGGTCCAGGGACCAAAGCCCCATGGACACAGATGACTGTGTAAACAGCTCTGAGGAGAGGAGGCTAGCTGTAAAAATAATTGTACTGAATTTCTCATCCCTAGCAACAAATCACTCAAAGCCATAGTTCTTCCAACTATTTCAACCCCTTACACTCTGCCTTTTCAAGTACTGCTAAGCAGACAATAAAGTCTTAAAGACAGAGGGTAAGTAGTATGATACATTAGAAAAATACTGAGGCTAACATCAAAAGACTAGCTCCAGTGCTAGTCCGCATAGTTACTAGTCAAGAGGTCCTAGAAATGCTATTTAATTCTTTCTTCTCATTAGTCTCTTGTCCAAAGTAAATAAATAACAAAACAAAAGCTACTAAAATCCACTCTGCCTTCTTCAAAGGATGGCTGTAACAAACAAACAAGATGCAACACGAAGCCAGGTATGGTGGCGTATGCCTGCAATCCCAGCACTCAGGAGGCTGAGGCAGGAGGATTGCTGTGAGTTCGAGACCAACTTGGGCTACATAGTGAGTTCCAGGTCAGTCTCAACTACATAGTGAGACTCTGTCTCAAAAAAAACAAACAAACAAACAAAAAAAAGATGTAAGATACTTTGTAATCTATAAAACACAAATGCTGGGCTAGGGATTTAGCTCACCAAAGGTGCTGCCGCCTGCCTTGCAAGTGCAAGGTCCTGAGTTCGATTTCCGGTAACCCCCCAAAAAAAGAATTAAAAACACAAATGCTATTATTATTATTATGTAAGAGAACCAGAAAAGTCTAGTTATTATGTAAGAGAACCAGAAGAGTGTATCTTCCAAATATAGCCTTTATTCATCTGAGACTTATTCACACACTGACAAATAACCATCTGAGACAAACGTCATGTGTAACACAGAGAAATGAACAAATGATGGGAAATTCAAGGAGGGTGGCATACTATGGGGCACATATGTTGAGGCCAAAAAGAACCTTCCAGCATTAACCAAAAAACCAGTGAAGCCACAAGTATCCACTTAACACAGCTGGATTCATATATTGAGTTCTAAGAGTTTTCTGTCGCATGATGCTAAACAATTCCTCATGAATTTTATCATTAACACACTAAAATCTCATTAGAGTAAAGAGAATTTGGTTACTACCTTATTCCAGCCGCTGGCATGAACTGCAGTCTCCAGTACACATTCTCGATATGCCTGATATGTCACTGGCCTGTAGGGATTTTTTTAAAAGGCTGTGTCACAAAAAGGAAAATTCTAAATTTCCAGATGAGTTAATACACCGATACTAGCACTACTCTGCTGTTGGAAGTGACTAGGGCTATTCAACACACTGTTTTATATAAGATGTAGCTTTCAGTACTGGGTATACATTTTTTCCAAGCATCCTCCAGGCTGAGATGCATGTGTGGGAAAGTCATTAACATTCCCGCATTAAAAGGGACTGAACCCAGGGCCTTTGCATTAAGCTATATCCCCAATATCTTTTTGTTTTTGTTTTTTTAAACAGTCTTCCTGAATTGCCCAGATTGGACTCAAACTTGTGATCCTCCTACCTCAATCTCCCTAGTAGCTAGGATTACATGCACCTAGCTCTAACAATTTTTTTTATAATTACTTAGAACTTATTTGATAGAACTCTATGCTGCAGGTAAAAACATGGATTACTTATAGAGAATCAAGTAACAACAAATAAAAATTACCTAAGTAACATAATGCATCACATATATATAATTTTAAATTTTTGGCAGCCACATTAAAAAAGAAATTTAAAAAAGCGTAATAATATATTTAGCCAAATTATTCAAAATATCATTTCAAAATGCTTAATATAAAATCCTATTACTGAGATATTTTACCTCCTCTCCCTGGCTGGGAACTGAACCAAGGACCTCCCACACTAGGCAAATGCTCTACCACTGAGCTACATTCCAAGGCTTCTTTTATTTTATTAACTCTATGAAATCCAGTGTGTATATTTTGATTTCCTAATATGTAAAATGATAGTATATGATATACAATATAAATATATAAAAATGTAAAACCTAACAGAGTAGGCTACAAGTAAGTTATAGCTGTATTAATCATAAACATTCATAGGCTGAAGAAATCACAGACCAGAGAATGCTCAGAATAGAAAATGTTTTGAAATAGAATTTTTAAATCCTACAAATGTAAGGTCCTCACACTCTTTTTTACATGTCTATTAATACTTTGCACAAAATGTGTGTGCATATCAGTTTCACTAAATCTACTCAAGCTACTATTTCTTCAGTTATATGGTATCACTTTTTTGTTTAATTTATATATGAAGCCAATGCTAAAACATAGTACCTGAAGTTCGTCAACAAGTAAGTGGGACCTGAGTGTGGTCACCACCCAATAATTTGGGTTTTTGGTGTGGCTGGTACTTGAATGCAAATAATCAATAATGCTAATCTAATCTTTCCATCCTCCAGAACTTATCGTTAAGATTTCAAACTAAAAATAGGGCAGTTTATTGCCCTTATTTATTTCAACTCTTCTCATCCTCAATTTGAAAAGTATTTCAGTGACATATCCCTAATAGTTTTTAAATATTTTAGTTTATTTTGTCTTTAAAGAAAATTAAAATTATGCTTTTAATCTTACTATGTGCAATTAGTTTTTTTTTGTTTTTTTGGTACCGGGGATCAAACTTGGGCCCTTGTGCTTGCAAGGCAAGCGAGTGGAACCGCTGAGCCAAATCCCTGGCCCTAATTAGGGTTTTTATATTTGCTCATTTCACCAGAATATGCAGAAACAAAGTGAACTCTCCCAAAACCCAAGGGAATTCCTTTAACAAAGGGTAAACTACAAATTTTGCCTACATAAAAGTAAGGAATTACCCTATTACAACAGTGATTTGGCACCTGAATTTCAGCCCTTTCCTATTTTATAAAGTTGTCTATCTTCATTAGGATAAATACATCATTAATTTATACCAATTCCTTAATAATTTCAGTTAAAAAAATACTAGGGGAAATTGATTTTTAAGATGTATAACAAGACAAGCATGGTGGTACATGCTAATAATGCCAGGGGCTGAGGCAGGAGGACGGCACGTTTGAGTGCACCCTAGGTAACTTAGTGACTTAGCAAGACCCGGTCTCAAAATCAAAAATTAAAAAGAACTGCGAATGTAGTTAATTGCAAAGGTCATGTACCATAATCCCCAGTACCACAAAAACAAACAAACAAACAAACAAAAAACAGATTTAGAACAAATGAACTGATTCTATTTTAATCTTTCATTTTTACTAGCTTCATTAGCTTTAATATGGTCAGAATCACAGCTATGAGGGAAGCCTACTATAGGACTGTAGAAACAGTTCCATGAGCAGATGTACAACCCCAAAGTTTAGCAACATCTGGGATACAAATATAATGTTAAACACAGATATCTCAGATACCAAGATCATGTTAATCTCATCTTACAACACACAAAACCTGAACCATTTTATGTAACGTTGGCCACTAGAAGGAATGGTAGTAAAAAGTGGTCGGGACAAGTGCAATAGCTTGTGTTTACAATGTTACACATATCTGTTGAAATCTGACAGCTGAATAAGTAAATATAAACCACCAAATCTGGGGAAACAGTTAAATCACCGCTTTGAAGTAAGGCTGTCTGTCATTCAAAACACAAACAGCTGATATGGGAAAGCAAAAGAAAAAAAAATTGAAGAAAATTGACACTGTTCACCTACAGCAAAGACTTAACCAATCTAGCGTGGCGTAAGCGCCAGAGACTACATAGAAAAGCACATTCCCCCTCAGCGATGGTAACTCACTGGCTGAGGAGCATTTGCAATGCTTTATGCAGAGGTTCTTTCAGTTCTTGGGACACTCTTTCTCCAACATGGACCAAGCAATCTTCTATTGAGCTTTCTGGGTTAGCAGGGCTGAACACAGGAGAAGTATGACGATCAAAGCCTGTGCTGATGAAGGCTGAAGACAGGGCAAAAGAGAAACCTAATTTAATTAATAATATCAAAACTTGCTCTTGGACAGACCACAGGATTAAGATAACTGCTATTAGGAAAAGTTAATAGTTATAAGCCACTTCAAAGAGTCACACAGGGGGCTAGGGATTTAGCTCAGTGGTTCCACCACCTGCCTTGCAAGCGCAGGGACCCAAGTTCAATCCCCAGTACAAAAAAAAAAAAAATGAGAGGCAACTCTTAGTTCTATCATCTCTCTCTTCTCTTAGTATTTATTTTTAGGGATGTGTTTTTACTTTCATAAATGTGGCACTTAAGCCAGACTCTAATCAGTTTATTCCACCTCTGAAGATGAGTCCACTACTTTCATTCCCTTATTAAAATAAACTAATTCAAAATTACGTCACATGAACAAAATAAAATCATGGTGGTTATACAAAGATGTATAAGTATGGAAGTATAGAAGAAGGAACTATAACCTATTCTTCCTCAGTTCAATTACCAGCTTCCTAGGTAAGCATCGTGGTACACGCAGGTAATCCCAGAACTCTGGAAGGCTGAGGAAGGAGGATCACAAATCTGAGCCCAACCTGAGTAACTTAGCGACTTAACGAAACTACTTAAAAAATAAAAATTTAAGGGCTGGGGATTTAGCTCAGTGGTTCTGCTGCCTGCCTTGCAAGCTCAAGGACCCGAGTTCAATCACCAGTACCAAAAAAACAAACAAACAAACAAACAAACAAATAAATAAATAAAAATTTAAGGGCTGGGGATTTAGCTCAGTGATGCTGCTGCCTGCCTTACAAGGACCTAAGTTCAATCCCTGGTACCAAAAACAACCAAAAAAAAAAATTTAAAAACAGCTGGGGAGCAACAACAACAACAAATATATGTGTGTGTGTGTGTG